AAACGACACTACCGTTAATCTCTGCCACTGCCATTAACCTCTCTTGCAGTACTTCCCCTTTCTTGAAACACACTTATCCCGTTGTTCTTGCCACTTTCTAAGCGGTCCTGGAGGTCCTCTTTTGTGTCTTTACAAGGTGTTGTCAACAGCATGGTGCTGCGGGCCAGGGATGTAGCTCAGCAGCACCAAGCCTGCCTGGCAGCGGCAAGGCCCTGAGTGTGATCTCCCCATACCACAAAAACAACAACAAAGAACCTAAAAAAATACAGTGCTGCCAAATGCCCGCCAGTAGAAAGGCTGGTTCATAAAAAACCTTACGGTGTGTCCTCATCCACATTATTCACTAGTTATGATACTGAGCAACTTCTCTTCCCCAAAGTCAAAATGACCATGAAAGTTAAACATTTTGAATTAATACAGTACATAGAGGCAACCACAACAACACAACTAAGGATAGGAAAGAGAACTTCACAAAGTATCAAGAACAATGCGATAAATGTGTTTTAAGCAAGCTGGGGGATATTTTGAGGCAGTGTGTCTTATACTGTAGTAAATTTAAAAAATTTAAACACTTTTTCATTCACATGTTATACATTGCTGGATATTTAGTAAGTATCCTTACCGTTCCCATACGATCAATTTTGTGGTTTTGCAGAGTTTTTTAAATATCCTAACTTTGGGTGCTAAGCTTGTTTTTTTGGTTGTTTTGGTGCTAACTTAAAATTTGCCCCCATTCAGTTTCTGTAGACGGTTGACTGGCTTTAAGGCAGAGTATCGTGGTGGAAGGGAGGTGATGGAGGAAGGCTGTTTTCCTCAGGCAACTAGGAAGGGGGTGTCTTCCTAATAATAAACCCATTCAGCTTTTGCACTCAGTAGTGGGTTAATCGGCTTCATAGGTTAGAGCCCTCATGATCCATTCACTTCCCAAAAGCAATCACATCTTCAAAACAGGGAGCCTTTTGGAGAACATTTTCTATTCTAACCTTAACAACATCATTTGGTTTTTATATAATTTTGAAGCTCTGAGCTTGATGCACTGATAGGGTCAAGATTATTGTAATTTCCTGGTAAGTTTTTTATTCATTAATGTTCCTATTTGAAGTATCACATATAGTACACCATAAATGTATAATTTTATTTATGTCAGTTTACCTTCTGTTTTCACTTTTTCCATTTTTTTCTTTTTTAAAATTAAATTTCTTTTATCCCACCCCCCCATCCTCCCCTTGTGTCAGTTAAAAAAAAAAAAAAAGAAATGTTCTGGAGTTTTAGCTCAGTAGTGCTGCCACCTGCCTCACACAAGTTCAAGGTCCTGAGTTCGATCCCTGGTACCAAAAAAAATAGTCATAATAATAAATAATAAATTTTTTTAAAGTCCTACTTTTTTCAGTTAAATTTAAGAATCATTAATACTCCAAAGTCTCTTTCCATTTATGGCATTGCCAAAAATATTAAAATTAGGATTTTCATATAGCTCAAAATATGAAATTTTTATACTGTCTAAAGACTGTATAAAGTGAAATCTTGCCTGGAGACCTAGTTTTTCAGTTTAGTAAGAATTGATCATTGCACTGCAGTTGCTTAATTGATTCAGCAAATATCTGAGCAACTTTATGCTAAATGTCAGTGAAGAAACAAATTTTAGGGGTGGGGCCAGGGATTTAGCTCAGTGGTTCCACCGCCTGCCTTGCAAGCACAAGGACCTGAGTTCGATCCCCGATACCAAAAAAACAAAAAATTTTAGAGGTGGTTATAAACTTATTGGGGCTACAATTTAATAGTCATGTGTATTTTTGGAAAGTGAAAAGAGTTGTGGTTTAAGCACTGTAAGGGAAATTAGGAGTGTGTATGGGAGAGGTGGAGTTGTGTCCTCACTGAAGATGTGACATTTGAATGAACTAAGTTGCTGGGATACCTGGTAGAGCCAGTACAAGAGCCACTGAGAGAGTTTTGTGGGGAAGTTGTTACGATTGGAGCTGGCAGAGGAGGGGAAGATGAGAAATACATTGGGTTGAGCCTTCTGTGATTTTTAAGAACCTTGGTTGAAAGTGAGCTGATGGAGGAGTATTCAGAGGAATGAAATCTAAATTTTTTTTAAAGAGGCTCTCTGGTTGCTGTGTTGGTTGGAATCTTTTCTTTTTTTAATTAAGTAAAATAATTGGAATTGTAATAGTAAATGATCTGATCTTTATGTGTTCATATATTAAATTTATTCAAGAATCATTTAGCACTGACTGTGAGCGTAGTATTTCCCCTCTGGATCATCAAGGCTATATATAGCACACTGAATAAAAAGGTTGCAAAGGGTCTGAAGCACATGAAATTTAATTTCCTGTGTGTGACAGTTTATTTATAAATAACCATCATCATAGAGTTTTTGTCTTATTTTAATGATCACAACAAGCAGCACTGAGATCTGAAAATTATTTCCCATATCATTTTTCAGTATTTAACTCATGTTTCTCACTTTCAGCTCTCAACTCATTAGTTTTTCTCAAGAGAGCTTTAAATGTTTACATATATATGACAAAGTATGCTGATATAAAAACATATTAATGTATATTCATCTACTCTGGATCCATTTTGATTATTAATATTGTTTTTTCAGACAGGGTCTCACTAGCTGCCCCATCCTCCCAAGTGCTGGGATCACAGACATCACCATGCTCAGCAGTTACTAAGATTTTTATAAAGAGAGCTGTTATGATTTAAAAAATACCATTTTAAAAAATACGTATTTTTAAATTTGTGGTACTGGAGATTTAATTCACAGCCTCATGCATACTAACCACTGGATCATATTCCCAACCCTTTTTATTTTGAGGCAGAGTCTTGCTTAGTTGCCCAGGCTTTCTTGGAACTTGGGATCCTCTTGCCTAAGCTTTTGGAGTAGCTGAAATTTATAGACATGGAATTTACCAGGTCCAGTTGAAAATTGTTTTTATGTCTGCCTCCTATATCAGGAAGCTAGGTGGGTCGAAATCAAGTTATGGTGTGAGGAGAACTATATGGGGAGAGTTGAGGACCATTGATAACTGTGGTGTCTTTAGTTTTCTTTCTGTAGTTAGCAGTTTTGTTTTGTTTTGTTTTGTTTTTGGAGACAGAGTCTCTGTAATTCAAGCTGGTCTTGAGCTCTCTATATAGCCTGGCTGGCCTCAGCAGTCTTCCTGCCTCAGCCTTCCAAGTCGTGGGATTACAGGCGGGCACCCCCACACCTGGCTTTGTACTTTGGAGTGTTTTGATGATTCCTTGGTTCAAGTGAAAGGTGAATTAGATAATTGGATTTCTTTGAAAAATCAGTGCAGTGCTTTTTTAACAAATATAGAAGGGGAGAGAAGTGCAGGTAATAAAATGTTCTCTCTCAAAAATTTCCTTCCATTTAATTTGTTTCCACATTTTGTTTTTCAACTGAGTTGGTGGGGCTAGTGGGCCGGCATTTATAATCCAAGTATTCCCAGTACTAGGTGAAGCAGGAGTTCTCATGGCTACAGAGTCTCAAAAACAGCAAACAAGCAAACAGCTGAAGTAGGCTACCTAAAAATTTGAGTCAGTCAAACGCTTGCAAGGAAAAAGTAAGAATAAGCAAAAGAAAGCCAAAGGTTGCTGCTACTGGAGTTGTTACAATATTTATTCACTTAGATATTTTTGTTGTTACTGCTGCTATTATTTTTTGTTGAATCAACATACAAAAGTTAGCAGGAAATATAGAGCTCAGGGAATTATGTTAAAAACAAATACCCATACATTAAAGGCAAGAAAATTTTGGCCACATGATCTGCTATACTCCTATGGACATACCTAAGAAAACTGAAATCATGTCTATACAAAAACATATAAAAGTATGTTCATAGGTTAGCAAAAAAAAAAAAAAAAAAAAGGAAACAGCCCGAATGTCCATCAGATAATCAACAGTACAGAATATAGTACATCTGTACAATAGAAAGAAGCCATAAAAGGCACAAAATCCTATATGCTCTAACATAGGTGGAACTTGACAACATGATATGTGAAACAGGCCTATTACACCTATTACCTTACCATGTTGTGTGATGTCATTTGCATTAATAGCTACAGTGGGCAGATCAGTTGCCAAGGACTGCAGGTAGTAGGGTCAGTAGGGATGGTGAGTGATTATTATTGGATATAGAATTTCTTTATGAGGGGAGAAGTGTTCTGGAATTAGATGCTGGTAATGGTTGCATAATTCTGAATATACTAATAAACTTCAGATTAATACATTTTAAAAGGATGGCTTTGATGACATGCTACTTATATCTCAATAAAGCTGTTAAGCAGCAACAAAAACAAACCAAATACATCCATGTGTTTAACCACCAGGTTAACAGAACATAACAGAACACTACAAGTCCACTGACTCTCCTTCCCAGTCAGTGCTGCACATTATTCCTGGGAGGAAGAGTGGCAACTATTTGTACTGCTACTTGCTTTTCAGAAGCCATTGTTTTAGACTGGACATGAAGCTTAATTTTTTCAGTGATAGCCAGGCCTAGCTGGGAATTTTTAATAAAGCATTAATCACATAATTATAATTCCATGGTGCCAATGTGGCCTACTTTTGGCACCAGTAATAGTACCTGTCTTTAAAAATAGTAGCTAGGCATTTTTATTTTTGGTACCAGGGATCAAACTCCGGTCCTTGCGCTTGTGAGGCAGTCACCAGAACCACTGAGCTAAATCCCCAGCAAGCCAGGCATTTTTTAACTGCCTCTCCTGCTCCTAGTGTATTATTTTTCTTTCTTTCTAGTTCTAGATAGTAGGCCCTGGCCTCCTCACCAAGCTATAGCCATAGCCCACCCCACATTTTAATTTTAAAACAGGATCTAAGTTCAGTCTAGGTTTGAATTTAGCATCCTCCTGCCTAAGCCTTCCAAATTGCTGGAATTACAGGCCTGTACCATCCTGCTTGGCTTGGAGCCTACCATTTAAAAATAATTTTTAAAAGTTAATTATTTAGCGATACTGAGGATTGAACCTAGAGCATGGCTAAGCAAGTGCCCTTAACTACTGAGCTGTATCGCAAACCTTTTTAATTTTGAGACAGAATTTTGCTAAGTTGTTCAGGATGGCTTTATATTTGCAGTCCTCCTGCCACAGCCTTTCAGGTAGTTGAATTACCGCCATGTCTAACCCTAAAATATTTTTTAAAGCTACCTTCCTTATATATTACTAGCCTTGTCGATAGCATATGCTTTATTAATCATTACTCCCCCCCCCCATTCTAGGGATTGAACCCAGGGCTTTGACCATGCTAGGCAGACATTCTGCCACTGATTTATACCCTCAGCCCCAACTACTACTGATTTTATCCTCCTAATCCCAATCCTGTGCCCACATTCGAAATGGTTTTTAATGCTGTCTTTTAAGTGATCCACATTGGCTTTGATGTTTCTTTTAATTTTCATATCCTTTTGAATTTTAAATTTTAGAAGAAACTACCCCTAAGTGATTATATGCTTTTAAATATTTTCAACCCAGAGTAAGGTCAGTTTTGGTTTTTTGCTTTTCAGTGATGTACTGGCATTGCCCATTTTCAAGCAGGAAGACTCCAGCCTTCCACTGGATGGTGAAACGAAACACCCTCCCTTTCAGTATGTGATGTGTGCTGCAACATCACCAGCAGTCAAACTGCACGACGAGACACTCACTTACCTAAACCAAGGTGAGTATGGCTAGGTCATATATTGACATGTAAAAGCTTACAAAACTCCAGAGTAAATGTTTTGGCATTGTAGTCTAGATTGCTGGTAATAATTAAAAGTTTTGGCCAGGCTTGGTGGCACATGCCTGTAATCACAGCACTTAAGAGGCTGAGGCAGGAGAATTATCACAAGTTCAAGGCCATCCTGAACTACAAAATGACAACCTGTCTTAACCAAAAAAAAAAAAAAAAAAAAAA